TACTGGCCAGCCACCAAAAAAAAAAAAAAAAGAACTTGGGTTGGATAAAGCAAGGACGATGGTGAAGGCACGTGCCGCCATTTCCCAGGTTCCCTCATCACCAGGCCCAGAGGAGGGGGTGGAGTCCTCTGAGAGGCCCACCTCCTCAGGCTCAATTAGTTTGAACTCCATCCCCCGGCCTGTCCAGGCAATGAAATGGGCATTCGTTGGGTCATCCAGCAGGGCCACCAGAAACTGCCACAGCTGCAAGGCACCCCGGCGCTGGTAGGGTGGCCCCTCTCGGAACGTGCCAAGCCCTTCCTGCTTGATGTCTCCTGGGGAACATGGAAACAGGTGTGGGGTTTGTGTCTTCAGGTCTCCCAAGGCACCTCCTCCCCTCTCCCCAGGGGTTCCCCAGGAGGTCTCCCCAGGACCTTTACCATGTGTCCCACCCTCTCACAACAATAAAATGTCATGTGATTCCTGCAGGGACACAGAGGGCACAGATGAGACCCTGACCCTCCCACGAACAGTCACTTCTCTGACCTTCAAATTTCTCAGGGACAACGCAGACATCATCTGGGAAAGGTTGCAGAGTTTTCTCATAGCCATAGCCTTGTGGAGGAAGTTGGGGGTCGCTCAGATCTGGGGGTTCACTGATGAAACCCCAGAGAGTCCACAGGGACTCCTGGCCAGGGAGACCCTCCCCCATGGCAGAGCTCCCTCCCCCAACTTGGAAGGCTTGGCAAGGGAAGGAGGGGCTGCCTTACCCATGGCCCCATCACCAGGAGAGGGCCCAGAGAAACCCTCTGGGTGGAGGTACATTGACGCACACCCAGGGACATCTGCAGGGAGCAGGGAGAAAGGGTGATGTTATAGGTGGCTGGGCAGAGCCAGGGGTGGGGAGGAGAGGAGGAAGTCCTACACACATTCAAGAAATTCTTCCTGCCAGCCTGCTTTCCGGTGACTGTTCCTTTCCCAGTTGCCTGCCCACCACCAAATCCCAGGGGAAGTTCACCCAGAGGGAGTGTGAGGCTTGAGCCCCTCAGCTTGAGGGCTGGGGCAGAGGGCATGGATGGCAGCAGCTGGGGCTGAGCAAGCTGTTCCGCAAGGCCCAGGATTCCAGGGAACAGCTGTTTCCTGTGAGTTCAGCGGGGAGGGGGGGCGGTGAGAGATGAACCTCCGGGGAAAGGGTTCAGTGTCCACGCCTAAGACTCCCTCGGATGGGCAAACGTCCGGTTAGCAGGTCAGGTTCCCAGCCCTGTGCCTCTGCGTGCATGCATGCATGCGTGTGTGCGTGCGTGTGTGTGTGACACAGACAGAGACAGGGACACAGAGCACCTATGGAGAAGAGGCAGTGGGCATCGGCTGGGTTTTTCACGTCTAGCAGTCGAGCACGTTCGACTTCATTTCACTCCATTCCATAGGATAGAAACCGCTCTACTCCACCCCGGGGAGGTGGCTGTATGAAGCCACCCATTCAAGTTCCAGCCCCTTCCCCCTCCCCCCCTCCACTCCCACCTATGAATGAGGAGATGGTGAAACCTGACACCTCCAGGAGGCAGAGGGAGGGTGGGCTCATTCAAGCCTCCATTTTGTGAATGGAATTCCTGACTCCATTCGGGAGAAGCTGATGGGAGGGGTAGGAGTTCAAGGGCATGTAACCCGATCCCTCCGGTCTACAGCCTTTGAAGGTCAGCAGCAAGAGCATCTCCCTCCCTCTCCCGGCTCCTCCTCTCCCTTCACTGCAGCAAGCTCATGCCCTGGCGCAGGCTCAAGCCCTGGCAACAGGCTTATGCCCTGGCACAGGCTCATGCCCTGGGTTTGAGGACAGGGGCACCCACCCAATTCTCACTCAGGCAGCTTGGGGATTTGTGGTTCATCCCCCTGTCCCTGAAAGACTGTGGGCACCAGGAAAAGAGAAAGTATAAAGCTCTCTAGCCAGATCCGAACCTAGTTTAACCTCTGAATTTAGTTTTCTAATGCAAACTTGCACATACACTCAGATTTGGGGCTAGTAACAATTTAACAGAAGCCAGGAGGAAAGAAGAGAAGGCAGAGTTTTCTGGGCCCTTCCTAACTGAGAATGGGCTTGGGGCTTGGACTATGGCTATTTATGAACTCGGAGCTTGGGGCTTTGAACTATAGCTATTTATGAACTTGGCTGAGTGCATCTCACTCCCATCAACAGCCAGGTGGAACTAGAATTTAAAGCAGTCCCTACTTCCGGTACCCAGCTTTTGGCCAGGGTGCTGGATCATCCATCATCCGGGGTGGAGGCTCGAACAGGATGTGGAAACCCCGTATTAACCTTGCCTTCCTACTGGGAACCATGAGCCTGGCTAGTTTCGAGTTCGTGTTTTTCTTCATTCAAATCCCTTTGTATTTTTAAACTTCTGTGGGGACAGAGACCAATGACACATTCTATTTATCTTTGTATCCTCCAACTCTGCACACTCAAGTTTCTGGCACAGTATGAGAATACTTCAAAAAGTTCATGGAAAGATTAGTATTTTTTTTTTTTGTGTGTGTGGCGGCTGGCCAGCACAAAGATCCCAAACCTTAACCTTGATGTTATCAGCACTGTGCCCTAATCGACTGAGCTAACCGGCCAGCCCTTTATATTATCTTTTAATTCTGTTTTTCCACAAACTTTTTGAAGTACCCTTGTACTTTGGTCTTGGTAGGTAATTAAACCCCCAAAGAACTGTTAAATAGAAATAAATACCATAACTTTCCTATTAAGTCACAAGCTACCCAATGGTAAGGATCTACACCCCCGCTTATCTTTTTATCTGATGTTTGCTGATTGAAAAATGACAATTCTTTTGAATCTATGAAAAACAAAAGTGGGTGGGTGGGTTGGATACCTGAACTGGTAAATGGATGGATGGGAAGGTAAAAAGAAAAAAAGTCACAGGGAGACATTCTGGGCTTAACTGAACTGTTCACTGGATCACATCCACCCCACCTGGCCATCCCAGAAAAATTCCTCCATGCCTTTCCCAGGAGAGGCTCTTACCTGAGTCGTAGGCGAAGTCCGTCTGCTCCTGTTTGATCACCACCCCCGCCCCTGGGTACCTGTGCCCATTGACCCCACCCTGGCCCACGGCCGGCTGGCCCGCCTGTTCATACAGGGGGTCATGGTATTCCTGCTTGAAGCTCTGCTGGGGGTAGGGTGGGCAGGGCTCCGACAGCTGGTGTTGGTAGGGGGTGGGGAGGGGTTCCCGGCCCCCTCCCTGAGATGATGTGAAGGAGTGGCAAATGTCCAGGGGCTGCTGGAAGACGGAGCTGAAGATAAGAGAATCTTAAATTAACCCCTCTTGGAGCCTGTCACTCCCAGGCTCTGGAGTGGGCTCTGGAGTGGGAGGGGGTGGTGTCAATATCCCTTCCTCCCCCCATGCCAGCTCTCCATGGAGAACACTCAAGGATTGAGAAGAAACTGGTGAGCCCTGGGCCTACGAGTACTGTGGGGCTACCTGTCTCCTTACCTATGCTCCCCGAGGTACCCATGGCCAGGGTGCGGCTGGGAGGCGCCAGAGGGTCTCAGGAAACTCCGCTGTTCTGCCCGGGGAAAGGGCTGCAGGGACGACTGTCCAGGAGCACCAGGGGCAGGGGACTTGATGGCGATTTGTCTGGGGGGATCATAGGCACTGGAGTTGAGGGGAGACAGGGGTGAGGGGGCAGAGAAGCTGGGCAAGCATCTTTGAGCCTGCCATCCCCAGGGAAGTGAGGTCACAGGGATATGAGAGAAGGAAGAGTAGCGGGGCGGGCAAGGGCACGGCAGGAGCCATAGACACAGCCCCACGTGCATTCTGTTCCTCCTCTCATCAATCCTGAAACCGGGCCTCACCTTGAGAGCACCTCTGCCCATCCCAGAGCAGCTGGTTTGGGTAGGACAAAGGGCTTCTTGGAAACAGACTGCTCCAGCCTTACACACGGTGCTGAAGCCCTCTGCTCCTGACTACTTAGAGACAATCCTTAGCCATATTGCTCCTTACAGTAGCTAGGCAGTCCTTTCTGTGTCTAACTTGCATCTCGACTGCTGCTTCTGTCCATGGGGGTCTCCCTGCCTCCCCCCCTAGTCAGAGTACCTCCTTCCTCCTGACACCCTTCACCAGGGCGGGGCTGGGGCTCACCTGGAATAAAGGCACTGCTCGCCATGGTGGTAGGGGAGTGGTGGCTTCCTGCTGCAGGACAGGGCCGTGTCTGTGCGGGGACTCTGGGGCTCCTTCTTGATCCTGGTGGTGGGGCTGTGGAAAGCTACTGTCGGGGGAGAGGGGGCAGAGCAAGGCCGGAGCGGGTCACACAATCGGCAGGCAAGGCGTCTACACCTTGTGCTCTGAGGACTGGCTGGGTGACTGCAGCAGCCTCCTCCCCTCTCTGGGTGTCAGTTTTCAAGCTCCATTGTCAGATACTTTTAAGAACATTTTGGCTATTTACATTATGCCTAGTTTTACTTGTCAGGCTAATGTCCAATACTAACCAAAGAAACTCTCTAAAGTTCAACATTTAATGCAACCCCAAACCCCAGAAAACACCTTTGTAGGAGTGAGCACCTCCAGCCTAAGGCCTGTGGTTTTCCTGAGTGCCCTGGAAAATTCCAAGGGAGGGAAATGTTTTCTTATTTGAGGATATAAAGAATCTTTCTTTTTCTGGCTAAGGTTGGATATTAGCCCACTTGAATGTCAGCTGAATAACATACACATGCTGCTAATTACCTGTGAAGAACACTGGCCTTTCCTGTGGCCCTTGCTGGGTTCTCAAACGCCAGCCACCAGGCTGAGCAGCAGAGTCGGTTCAAGCAGTGACATTCAGTCTTAACATAGTCCTGTCTAACACCCTCTAACCAACTGTTCTGTTATCTCCTGTTATTATTTGTGCCCTGTTTCCTTTCATTGGTGAAGAAAGTTGAGAGCAAAGTATCTGACA